CGATACAAATACTAAGATAAGATGAACATGAGAAATAATAATGAAAAAATAATCATAATAACAACAAAATAGCGATAAGGTATATAGGATTACAAAGTGCTAGGCATGTTACCAGCGCAATGTCAATATTACAACAGTTATTATTATTATTATATCAGTTTTTATATAAACAATTATTTCTAAAGACCTTTAACTAAGAAATCTGTGGTTGATCTCCTCTCTGTGTCTCCAGGCTTATCTAGAAGCTTTCTACAAGTTCTGCTCTTCACTGGGTGGCACAACTGCAGATACCATGTGCCCTATTCTGGAGGTGAGTAAACATCTGTAAAATCAAGTATAGGGACCTTGAGTCTGAAATAGGATTTTTTTTTTAAATTGCAGTTGACATATTTCAGTATTCAAGAACTAAAGCAAAGATTTGTTTTTGTATCAGTTTGAGGCAGACAGAAGAGCTTTCATCATTACCATTAACTCCTTTGGTACGGAGCTCTCCAAAGAAGACCGAGCTAAACTCTTCCCTCACTGTGGCAAGCTCTACCCAGAGGGTCTTGCACAGCTAGCCCGTGCAGATGATTACGAGCAAGTCAAAGCTGTGGCTGAATACTACCCTGTAAGTATATGACTTGAAAATAACATTTCATCATGACAACATGATTAATTATATGACAGAATGTTCGTTTATGGTGAACTGTTCCTTTAGAGTTGTTTTGATGTGAAGTTCACTTAGTGTGTGTCTCTGGTAGTTTTGGCCACCGAAATGATTTGAGGATTAAAATTGAGTTCATGTTGCTTCAGGAATACAAGCTTCTCTTTGAGGGTGCTGGCAGCAACCCAGGAGACAAAACCCTCGAGGATCGCTTTTTTGAACATGAGGTGAGCAAAGGTTTTTGTTCAATGTGAAAGAGAGTGAATGTTACTGCACTGAAAATCATAATCCAATGATGTTAGCAAATGCCTCTGTTTGAAATGTGTTTGCAGGTGAAACTCAATAAGCTGGCCTTCCTGAATCAGTTTCATTTCAGTGTGTTCTATGCCTACGTCAAGTTGAAGGAACAAGAGTGCCGGAACATTGTGTGGATTGCTGAGTGTATTGCCCAAAGGCATCGGGCTAAGATTGACAACTACATCCCCATATTCTAATGGTACATCATATTAGTCTTGAATAATGATCCACATGGCATGTATTAACTGTGCTCTGTTATGTTAAGGTTTGAAAGTTATGATTCTGTCTCCTCTGTTTCTTGCACTACGCCACTCTTACCTTTCATTGTGATTGTCTTTATTAGAGTAAAAGTATCATTCGTTTTTGTTTGACAGACAAAACAATGCCATTGCATTCCCCTCCCCTCCACCCTTGGGATTTTTTTAAAGGAAAGTTTTAGAAAAGTAATAAATGTTTTTTTTCTTCATGATGTCATGACTGTGAAACCATGTCACCTGGCAGCCAGTCACAGCCCACTGCAAATGAAGGATGCAGGGAATTGCAGGAAAACAGGAGAGTTGACTTGAGATGCAAAACCCAAGACATCTAATTGTCATACTCTTCCTGTGGTAGGCTAAGAAAACATACATTCCATTATTATTATTATTAATGCATTGCATACTTTTTCAATTAATGTACATTTTCAGATTTAAAAACTCCCTGAACTCCTGATCTCCCAGTATCCGCATCTGATGAGTGTTAGAGAATCACTGGTAATTTAGAGTGTGAGCCTTATTTTGAAACGCAAGCAGAATGAATTTCTGTGTAAATCATATTGTGTAAATTGTTGTATTCAATTGAACTGCGCAGTTACATAAGAATGGATTTATGATTGATTTACAGAGTAATTGTTTTGCTTGTGTTTCTCAAATAAGGAACAATGGGATTATCCTTAAAAAAGGAGAATTGCTGGGAATTAACATGGAAAAAAATGTTCTTTTGTGTGTATAGATTCTTCACTGTTTCTGTTAAAATGAGAATTGTGTGCTTGCCATTTGTAAATTAGTGCTAAAATGTGTGCAGACATAATTTATGGAGTAGATCATATTTTGTGATTGACAGCTGAATCAGTGAGGTCAAATGGATCTAATATTAAGAAAGACCTTGCTCTCGGCTAAATCAATTGTACTATTGTAACCATATTGTTTGTGTTTTAAGTGATCTAAATGAAATCTATAAATATATACACCATATATAAATATATATATATATATATATATATATATATAAGTATTTCTGTGTTTGTATTTTTTAATTCTGTCTTTCAGAGAAAAGAAAAAGAAGACAAAAACATCCACTATTTCAAGCTATAGAACTACAATAGTATTAATAGTAGTTGCATTATCCACCACTAGATGGCGCAAATAGCCCAATCATCCTTTATCAATGCATGCAGTTTGCCTTGAACTTGTCATTTTGGCTACATCACCAGCTTCAGAATTTGAATTTGCATTTTACTATAGACAGGCATTCAGCTGATGTTTGGATCAGTCCCTGAGATGACCCCATCCTCACTCTTTCTACGTGCTAAAACATTCAAATTCAGGTTTCATTAAAAACGCTTAATTACTGCACACAATCACAGCCTTTTAGTTCCGCAGTGCTCTGGACCTTTTGCAGTTCAGAAGACCGAAAATCGCTAGGACTCTAGTGAGCTTTCTGAATGCAAATTATCTTAGCAGCCATCTCACTGCAGCCAAAAGAAGAGCACAATGAGGTTAAACTGAGTTCATCCTCTTACTGCTGCACAGGTTATGGTAGTACTCCTGGAAAATGCATAAATCTTTCAGATGCCCCCAAAGGTTTTTTTTTATTTATTTTTATTCAGTTTGTAGATATGCAGTTGTTTTGACCAATGTTGGTGCCGAAATATTACTGTTGACTTCATCATATTACTATAGCACTACATGTGGTATTCCTCTTCTTCATGTTCACCAAACAGCAATCAAAAAACATTTGGTTTAGCCAAATCTGATGCCGTTCAATGTATATATAAAAGAAGTCCCAAAACTAGGGCCTTTTCTGGTTACTTTTGTAAATGCGTATGAATCCAGTGTCATTTGGATTAGGTGGTACACAATGTGACTTGTATTGTCACACAAGTATGCATAATAGGAACACCATCTAACTTTACTCAGCCTTATGTTTCTTCTGCAGAACACAAAAGATGTGCCAAAACTGCTTGGTTGCCACTGCCAGGCATTCTTGAAAATATCTTCTTTTGTGTTCCACAGAATAAAGTCATACAGATTTGGAATGACACGGGTGTGAACAGGGTTCCCACAGGTCATGGAATGGAATTTTAAAAGGTCTATTCCAGACATTGAAAGTCAGGGAATTTTATATATTTCTTTCCAAGTCATGGAATGTCAGGGATTTTTGTTTGTTGCTTTAAATGTTAGTTTCCATTTATCAAAATGTAATTTTTCTATACCATTTTTTTTTATTGCGTTGTTTCACGCGTTTTGCCTATTGTTATGGTTAGGCTATTTTCAGTGCCATTTTATTCCCTTCCCGCTCGTCAACTAGCAATCACTTGCAATTCACAAATGCAGTCACCAGGCTGTACCTGTTAACTAAGGCAAACATGCCAGAAAATGTAAATTTCAAGAGCTTTGGCTACAAAATGACCACTTAAAAGACTCGGTGTTAAAAGCAGACGACAGAAAAGCTAAATGTAAAGTTTGTAAAACTACTATCGAGCTATCAAATATGGGAGAGGGATCACAACAGTGGCATGTTTTTCTGTTTATTATAGGTCATGGGAATTCAGCTTTTTAGTCAGTGAAAGTCAGGGAATTTGATATTTGGCTTAGAGTAGGATCCCTGTGTGAATAAATACTGACAGAACTTTCATTTTAGGGTGAACTATCCCTTTAAGTTCATGCAATGTTAAAAGTAAACAGTATAGTAAACAGTCTAAGACCTACATCTTATGTCTTCTGTCACTGAGCCTTTAAGAGCATGTTAATTATTCTCTGATCGGATTCTGAATCCCTGCAACCGAGCAGGGTGATGCCCTCTCCACCCTTCTGGACACGTCCCCATAAATAGTGGTGACAGGCCGATGTTAAGATGACTCGGAGAGATGCCTTTGGTTATTTTTTGCTGATACTAGGAAATGTAGTTTTAGTATTTCCGTGGTAGTCGTCACGTGTTACCAATGCCCTGAAGGACAAGCATTTGGTAAGCTCTAATTAGATACAGAAATAAAGATGATATTTTAAGAGTGTGGGAGGCAACTGTGATACAGGACACTGTCAAATGCATACTGTCACCTGCTGTAACTGGCAAAACGCTCAAGTACGGCATTTATCTTTGTGGACCTGGTGGAGAAAGGAAGATGAATGGAAAAATGGGTGCTGATACACATGTAAAGTTACAAGTCTACATATTTGTGTGTTCCTTTGCACCAGCAGGAAATGGTTGCACAGGCCGCACTGGAATTTGACAGGTTTTACAAGTGCACTGGGCAGCTTCATCTCCATGGGCTTTTTCTTTAACAACAAGATCTCTCTTGGAAACCAGATGAGCAAAAATAGCCTACTAATGATGTTTTTGTGGGCCCTTGTCAAGTAGTGAATGAGAGAAGTTGTCGAGGACTGATGTATGTGGATTTGTACCCGGTGACCTCCACTTACAAACAGAGTGAAACAAAGCGGCATATAAGCATCCTGAAACGCCACAATCTTTGTGTCTGGACGGGCAGGAACTGCTTTACAGTCACTGCACATGAACTGACATCACATTCCCATGCTTATGCAAAGCTGCGAAAGCTTGCATCAGACAACGGGTGTCATTCTTCGAAAGTGAACCTGAAGAATGGCATCATTTAGATCTGGTTTAATTGCTCCAAAAATGTAAATCAAGGTTGTGACCTCATTTCTAGTAAGCCAGTGGGAGAATGTAGAGTGAGACACCATTACAATTGGGCTACGGTTGCCAGTCCGTTATTTATTTGTATGGATGAAATTAATGGTATTGAGGCCCAGTTGCCCCATTTCATTCTATGAAAGACTGCTGTTTTGGATGGGCATGCGTGTCCTGTGGTGTCATAAGCCCCTCTGTACCTCTCAACTCAGCTTGGCCATCTGACAAATGCACCGGTGGTCCAGCTCCAATGTTCTAGTGGCAAGTGCTGGGAATAAATACGCTATACATTGTCTACAATGTGATTGTGTCCCACAGTCCAGGAAGAAAACAAACAAACAGAGGGAACACAATAGCCTTTGAAGTGCATGACATGAACCGGAATGTGGTGACATTAGATAGCATTTTCATTGAGACGTTAACTCATTGATGAAGCATTATAGATGGCCTCATTTTTGAGAAAGGAAACTCTTCATTTTGTGCATGAACATTTCAAGTTGTTTTTACATTTATTTATTTTACATTTCTTTTAAAATTTCAAAAGCTAATTTTTAGAGAAAATGTTGCATTATATTAATTATGTAATTATAGTTTGAATAATTATTAATAATTTACCATTAAAATAATATTTAATAATAATAAAATGAATGGCAATTACCTGTACCAAATATTACTATTCGGTCAATGTTGTCCTATTTTGTGTCAAGAATTTTAGAAAATTGTTTAAATAGTGAGCTTTACTCACTATGTATATATGTGCATATTTTTAGGAAAAATATGTTAAGTTAATAATATCAATTATATGAATATAAATATATACATGGAAATATATATATATATATATATATATATATATATGGTCTTTCTGGTTACTGTATTGTATTTCTGGTTACTTGTTTTGTAAATGTCTGTGAATTTATGGAACAATGTCATTTGGATTAGGTGATACATGTAGCAAAATGTTTCTGTTGTTATCGCCACACAAGTATTTTGCATTCTAGGAACACCATTTAACTTTACTCAGCCTTATGTCATTCCACACCTGTATGGTGTTCTTTCTTCTGCAGAACACAAAATAAGTGCCAAAACTACTTGGTTTCAACATTCTTGAAAATAGCTTATTTTGTGTTCCACAGAAGAAAGTCATACAGATTTTGAATGCCATGAGGGTGAATAAATACTACAGTGTATTTGTATTTAATGTTTTTTTCAGTATTCTGCTTCATCTTCCTATGATTAAAGCGGCAGAAAACAAACAGCAGAGAGGAGATACTTAGAAACAGACGTATGAGGCTGTTCCTTGAAGTCCGTTATGGTTTTGGATCTACTTCTTTAGCCTAGTGAGTCTGGCCAGCACAAGCGATACCATTTTCCATCACTCCAAGTATGCTTAGTGTTAGGAACTTAGTGTGTTGATGTTGGCGTCCTGTGCTGGATTTTAACATCAGCAGCACTGAGACAGTGTGCAGCACTCCTATCTCCTGTCCTGAGGGGAATTGGCAAATGACACCATGGCCTTAAAACTTGTGGCACACCTGCAAAGGTTTTAAAATGCGAAGCTTTCAAGTAAGCAGCTTTTTTTAATTGAAATTTTAATCTAATTTTTTATTTTTTAATCATCAGTTCTACATACAAGTACTGCTGAGAACATGAAGTGTTACAATGGAAAATCCTGTGAACAGTCCATGTATGGTGAATGAGACCAACTGTGAGGTAACACTGGATGGGTCTACAGTGTTTATGTTAGCGGTGTGTTATCGTTCCCTTTTTGAGTGGCACAATCTCCTGCCCTGTGTCCTAAAAACCTGACCGCCACCCAAGAGTTGACTTGTGTGTGAAACATTTGTGAGTTTCTTTTCCCTTTTTTGAGTAATTTTCCTTTTCGGATTTGGCTGAACTCTTGCCTCAGGACACCACTAGCATTATTAATCTGAACTCTTTCTCAGAATTTTCGTTGCTTTTCTTTCCTCTGGGCCAAATTTCTCAACTCTAGGACATTGGGTCCAGTGTCTTGTTTAATTGAGGC